GATTCAAATTACTGTCTGGTGTCATTTCCTTTAAACCTGAGGGATTTGCTTTAGCATTTCTTATAAGACAGGTCTGCTAGCAATGGATTCTCTCGCTCTTTGTCTGGCAATGTCTTTGCTTTCAGTTTTGAGTAATAGTTTTGCTGAATATAGAATTCTTGATTTATTTTTTCCCCCAGCACTTAAATATGTCATACGAATGCCTGTGGGTTGTATCGTTTCTGATGTGAAGTGAATCATTAATACATTGTTCTCTTGTATGTGATGAATCATTTTACTCTTGGTGCTTTGAAGTTTTCTCTCTGACTTTGGCTTTCAACAGTTTGACTATATATGATATATCTACATGTGTATCTCTTTGTGAGTATCATACTTGGGTTTGTTGAGTATCTTGGATCCATAGATTAATATTTTCATCAAGTTTGGGGAATTTTAGTCCATTATTTCTTCAAATATATTTTCCTACCTTTTCTCTCTCTCTCCTCTTTCCAGTACTACCATGACTCATATATTGGTATGTTTGATGTTGTCTAACAGATCTCTGAGGCTTTAAGATTTTTTCTTCATTCTTTTTCTGTTTTTTTTTATTAGATTATTTCTATCTTCAGATTCACTGATTTTTTAAATTCTTCTATATAAAATCTGTTGAGTCCCTTTAATAAATTTTTCATTTAAGTTATTGTACTTTTAAACTCCAAAATATTCATTTGCTTCTATTTTATAATTCTCATCTTTTTGTTGACATTCTCTCTTTTTGGGTCATTTTTATAATACTTTCCTTTAATTCTTTAAACATGGTTTCCTTTATTGGCCTTTAAACTTATTTCTTATTACTACTTTGAAGTCTTTGTTTGCTAAATCGAACATCAGAGTGCACCTGGAGACAATTTTTATTTACTGATTTTTTCTGCTGGTGTGTGTCACACTTTCCTATTTCTTGTCATGTTTCATAATTTTTGTTGTAATTGAAAATGGGACATGTTGGGGGCTTCCCTGGTGGCACAGTGGTTAAGAATCTGCCTGCCAACGCAGGGGGCACAGGTTCAATCCCTGGCCCGGGAAGATCCCACATGCCATGGAACGACTAAGCCTGTGTGCCACAACTACTGAGCCTGTGCTCTAGAGCCCACGAGCCACAACTACTGAAGCCCACATGCCCAGAGCCTGGGCTCCGCAACAAGAAAAGCCTCCGCAATGAGAAGCCCATGTACCGCAACAAAGAGTAGCCCCCGCTCGCCGCAACTAGAGAAAACCCACATACAGCAACAAAGACCCAGCACAGCCAAAAAAAAAAAAAAAGAAAATGGGACCTGTTAGATAATATACTGTAGTAATTCTGGATTCTGAATTTTTCCCTAAATGTGTTGTTGCTCTGTTTTGTTTTTGTTTAATTACTTGCCTAAACACATTTATAGAATCTGTTCACCTAGCACTGTGTTACTGCTGATGTCTCTGTTTTAGTTTTTTTAAAAAATTGTCATTCTCATTTTTAAGCCTGAATTCATAGGGATCACCTTGTATTTGCATAGATTAATGGCCAATGAATGAATGGTCAGACACTGTGCTCAAACATCTCAAGACAGTAAAGGTTCCATCTTCTGGCAATAGATCTGTGTGTGTGTTGGGGAGCACATTTGAAATTCAGGTAATTTTAAAGTATGTATGCCCTGGATTTGCTTACCTCTAGACTCTCTTGTTTCTCCTCTGCACATGTACACAGGTTTACAGTTAACCAATGATGTGTGGATAACCTGAGCCCTCTCCAGTTTTTTTCTATTCAGGCATATGGAGAGCTTATGAAGGCCCCCATGGTGGTCGTTTTTTTTTTTGGCTGCGTTGGTCTTCGTTGCTGTGCGCTGGCTTTCTCTGGTTGCCGCGAGTGGGGGCTACTCTTTGTTGTGGTGCGTGGGCTTCTCATTGTGGTGGCTTGTCTTTGCTGTGGAGCACAGGCTCTAGGCACGCGGGCTTCAGTAGTTGTAGCACACGGGCTCAGTGGTTGTGGCATGTGGGCTCTAGAGCACAGGCTCAGTAGTTGTGGCGCATGGGTTTAGTTGCTCTGCGGCATGTGGGATCTTCCTGGACCAGGGGTTGAGGCCGTGTCCCCTGCATTGACAGGAGGATTCTTAACCATTCTTAACCACTGCGCCACCATGGAAGTCCCGTTAAATATAGTTTTAATAGTTAAAAGACCCAAATTGATCCATACATATCAAGTTAAGTGTCTACTCAGAAACTGACTTATAAGACAGAGTATTATTTTCAAAATTTAGATACAACTAAAAGCCCAAGAGTTTAGCAAGCCCTTATTTAGCTCTTTGATGTAACTTCAAAGAAATTTAAATTTAAAAAAAGAAATTAAAATTTTACATATTCTATTGAACTCCTCTAAAAACATTATTTGACTTTAAAATTCAATAGAGTAAGATGTTAGACTTCAGTGTTCCTGGGTCATAACAAAATAGACATGGCTTTCCTTCAAATAATTAGTTACACTGATTATTGCATAGTCAGTTCCTTAAAACTTCGTTTCTCTGATTTAGTTTTGTTTGTTAACTTCGATAAATGACTTAGCATTACCAAATAGTCTGTTGGCACAGTATTTTAACATCTAATCCTTCACACACTCTTTTTTTGTTAGGATTCAAAAGCTTGAAGAAACTTTAGAGAGCATAACAAGTGTTTGATATTTTCTAAATACTTTGGATTTTCTAAATAATACTATATAATATATGATTTTCTAAATAATCCTATATAATATATAAATCATAATGCTTTTTTTGAAGCCTTTTGTTCCAAATGAAATATTATTTGAAAACTGATGATAGTACCATGAATCTTTACCATAAAGTTTAACTATTAAAAATCATCTGCTGTGACTTACTTGTGAGAATGGAATAATCACATTCTGACACATTCTATGTAATAAGTGAATCATTTTAAAGGTTTATCTTAAAGGGAAAATGACAGAAAAAAAGGAACGACAGTACAAGAAAAAGAATGACAGATCACAGCTGTTTTGATATAAATAAACATTGAAAATATGAGCTCATGAGAATATGACTGCAGATAGTAGAATGAAAGTAAAAAGAGCAAAAACAGAAAAACAGGAGAAAAGTTAGAAAATGCAAATGTTCTATAAATAGAAAAAAATGAAACAGACTCCATAATTAATTTCATTTTATATAGTAATGGAATTAAAGGAGTGAAGGAAAATACCACTTTAAACTTAGACCTGTATTAGCACAGCCTGTACTTTGTAACCTGCTAGGGGTATAGAATGCAATCATTTTGCTGCTGCCTGGAACAGCCAGGCAGGAACAAATTTCACTAAGCCTTCCAATTGGTAACCAATCCACAAGTTTGATTTCAAGGTTCTAACCTTTGGCATTAATGCTGATCATAGAATAAGAGCTAGATATTCACCCTGGGGGAGGGGGTAGTTAGTGGGAGAGGAAAAGGCCATTTCTGTGCTACAACTCCACTCCAGGAATTAAAGACAGTAGCCCACCCTATACTCTCAGGCTACGTTTGCACCCCCTGTACTTCCTAGAAGCCCTGCAGGTCTGTGTTACTTGCTTAGCAGGGGATAAGATTATTTGCATTATTATGTATCCATTTTGTACTCTGTATATGTGCTGTCTTCTTTTGATTTAGGTAATCTCTTTGCTTTTGCTAATGCTTTTTAAAGACTGGAAACGATCAAGGTTTGGACACTTTGGAAGGTTTTGCTGTTTTAACTGGGCAGCTGGCTTTTTCCATGCCACACCACTCACATGCTTCACTTTCTCTTCAAATTTTCTCTACACCAGGGACCTTTTTAATATTAACTTTTAATTTTAGAATCAGTTCAAGTCTGTAGAAAAATGACAAGGATAGTACAGAGAGTTCCTGTACGGCTTCCTATTGTGACTATCTTTCATTACAATGTAGACCAGAGGCTTTTAGCCTGAGCCCATGGATTCTTCAGAGTCCATGAACTTCTGAAATTTATGCCAAATTCTATACATTTGAAAGAAAATGCACTTCATTTCATTCAAGAACTATATAGATTAAGGTTGTCCTTTTAATTTCATCAATTCTTTTCTCTAGGTGCAGTCTCTGCTGTCATGTTTTCCACTCTGCTAACACATTTTTTGGTTTATTAGAACAATAACTACCTCCAAGTGTACACTCACACCAGTGTGCATGGGTGGGTGGATTTTTGTGTGCAACAGCACTAGGAAAGTGTTCTTTATCAAACCTGTAATTTTCCGAGTCACTCGACGCTGTGTGTTCACACAAGTATATTAACTCTATTGTTTGATGAACCCAGTGTCCTTTCAGACGGAGTCTGTCTATACTACATAAAGGCCTCAAGTTGAACCTAGAGGCCCTGCATCAGAATTGCCTGGGCTCCCAATACAGAAAATCTGCTTTTGTATCAATCCCCTGAAAGCATTTGGATACACAATGTATCCAAACCGTTTATGTAGACCATCTAAATTTCCAACATTAACTTAACAGCAAAGGGTATTTGGAACTATTACCAAAGCACTGCCACTTTCCCTCGAAATTTTAAGGGGGAAAAAGCCATGAAATTTGACATAAATACACTACCATGTGTAAAAGAGATAGCTAGTGGGAACCTGCTGTATAGCACAGGGAGCTCAGCTCGGTGCTCTGCGATGGGCTACTTGGGTGGGATGGTGGGATGGCGCGGGGAGGTCCAAGAGGGAGGGGATGTGTGTATGCATATGGCTGATTCACTTCACTGTGCGGCAGAAACTAACACAGCATTGTAAAGCAGTTATACTGCAATTTTTAAAAATTGCTGTAGACTTATTTTTCTCTTGTGTCTAGATAGAGTGCATTATGTGAGGTCATTCTCACGCTAGCTCTAAAGATAAAAGATGATTATAACTTGAGCCGTCTAGGTTTCTGTAAAACGTCCTCAAACTTAAAACTTCCTTTTATAAGCATTTTTTAAAATTATAGACTAACATTAGGGTGTTTTTTTTCAGACTTACAGATTCCAGTCTGATGCTAGAAGATTATTCATCCAAGTTGAGCCCCCAAACAAAGAGAGCCAAGAAAAGCCTTCTCTCTGGAGAGAAGAAAGAAAATCTGCCAAGTGACTACATGGTGCCCATTTTCTCAGGACGGTATGTACGGATTTTCTCCCTGGATCTGATTATTAGAAAGTGGAGAGTAAATGTTGTCAGGTAGTAATAACAATAGCAGCTGTCATTTATTGAGCACTTACTATGTACTGGTTGAGAAAGGTCTGTGGAACCTCAGAACCATGCACGGAGGGAGATGTGTTCATTGTAAAACTGTTTGCCATCACATAGGATGGCTATATGACAAAAGAGGATGATCAGCAACTTATTTCTAATTATGTAACTAGTTGAAATTAGAAGCTGAGTATTGGATGCTAGTTTTTTGACTCTATATATAGTCACTATGTTTAGAGTAGAAAGAAAGGTTAAAACTATAAAATATTGGGTGAACTAAAAGAAAAAAATCAGATGATATGTTTAGGTAGATTGGTTGCCAGTGTGGTTTTAATTATTATTCATTATGAAGAAAAAAAAGTCTTAGATAACGTAGACTAAGTAAAAGAATTGCACCATAATAATGCCTGGCTTATGTTTGTTAAATGTAAAATAGATTACTATTTATTTTGAGGTAAAGTTCAAACAAAATAATCACTAAATCACCAGTCTGTGTAATGCCAAATTTGTTTATAATATAAACATTTTTTTGAATGATAATATATACAAAGGAATCTTGAAAGGAGACTTGTCCAAGACACCAACTTAAAGTTTAACAGGAACTTTCTGAGTCTTCCCTGTTTATTTTCCTTTGAATGGAGAATTATTCACAGAGCTAAGATGGTTCAGAATGAGGTCATCTTCTCCAGGCAAGTGCTCTCAGGAAAATCACTAGGCAATAATGCGGGTGTAATTTTGGGCAACCAACTTCTGTTTTCCCTCCATTTTTTCTTTCCACTGCTTTCTGATGGTTCCTTTCTGAATTGTTTTGGAGGCTAATGTCATAATTGCTCTGAACCTACTTAGGAAGGTAAGGGGGTAAACAATATTCTATTTTTAGCTTTTCATTTTATACCTTTGACTGTTTTTTTTTTTTGCGGTACGCGGGCCTCTCACTGTTGTGGCCTCTCCCGTTGTGGAGCACAGGCTCCGGACGCGCAGGCTCAGCGGCATGGCTCACGGGCCCAGCCGCTCCGCGGCATATGGGATCTTTCCGGACTGGGGCACGAACCCGCGTCCCCTGCATCAGCAGGCGGACTCTCAACCACTGCGCCACCAGGGAAGCCCTGGAAAGGTTTTAAATTTATTTTAAATTTGCAGTAGTGTGTTTTGTTTTTGTTTTTTGCGGTACACGGGCCTCTCACTGCTGTGGCCTCTCCCGCTGCGGAGCACAGGCTCCGGACGCGCAGCCTCAGCGGCCATGGCTCACGGGCCCAGCCGCTCCGCGGCATGTGGGATCCTCCCGGACCGGGGCACGAACCCGCGTCCCCTGCATCGGCAGGCGGACCCTCAACCACTGCGCCACCAGGGAAGCCCAGTAGTGTGTTTTTGATGTTAGTATCATATTCTTGCTCTTGTACACAATTTATAGCAGGGTTACCACTGACATGCACTTATATTTACTTAAAGGCAAATGTGCCTGCTGTCCTGGGTCAAAAATATATTTTTAAGTGTACTTGAGTTTTCCTGTGAAATAATTACAGTTTTTTTCCCCAAGGTTTACCTTATTTGCAAATGGAAAAGGCAGGGAAACCATGACTCCATTCTGCCCTCTAGAGCTATGTTAGCACATCCACTGTTAAAGGGTATGTGAACTTCACTTAGAGTTGTCTCAACTTGGGGCCGGACTATCATTGAATATAATCCATTACTATACGTATTGAATCATATTACAAACCTCTTTTCAAATCTCTATATTGTATATTAGCCTCTATAGAGAATTCCAAGTAGATTCTCATGACGTTTGTTTTGTATTCACTTATTAATTCATTCACTTCCTATCTCATTCAAAAAGAAAAGTTAGAGGTAATTATGTCAGGATACTAAGCTAAAAATGTTCCATCTTCCTTTTTCTCCCCCTAAATTATAGCAGATAACTTCCTTGGTAGAGACTACTTTTTAATATTTGGAGAGATAGAGAGAAGGGAAAAGAAATTAAAATTTACTCACTAAATTGAGTAAAACGCAAGGCGGACTAATTTGTCTACCAGATGTTTTAGTAATATTCCATGAGAAATTCCAAACTTGTGCAAATGTTGCGTCCTACTCGTCAGCAAACTATATAGATTCAGGTGCCAGGGACTTGTAAACACAATGGCAGTGTTTGCTTGAAGTTTGAAGTAATTTTTCTTATAAGAAAAACAAATGTACAATTCTGCCTTAAGGGGTCTCAGGAGACTCAATTTCAAGAGAATCTTCAATATAAGCAACATGCTCCTCACTGAAACATGTAATAGGATTGACAACAAAGGTATTGAAGGAGTTTTAAAATAATCCAAATATTTTAAACATTACTAAATCACAGCACAAATTCTATCATAAACTACTATATTAGGCACAGCACTTTGGGATGTAACCACTCACTTGCCATCATCATCATCAATTATGAGTAAAAACAAGTCACTTTTGTCAGCATCGACACTTCAGCTGTGAGTTTGATCATTTCTTTACAACAGGGCTGTGTGTAAGCACAAAGTAAGGCTGTCATACTAAATATGTAGATACACACACACAACCTTTATTATCATGGAAAGGAAACCCACTAGGCTTAAGGATCTCACGTAAATGTACAACTTATTTCTGCGTGCAGCACCTCTGGGCAATGCATTACATCATCTGAGTCACAGAATCCAGATCAAGCACATAGGCGAAAATCAGAATCACAGCCACACAACTGTCTGTCATTTCACAATATCGTCTTTTCTGGAAGGAAGTCGTAACTTAATCTTTTTTTATAGACTAAATCGTATTTAAACACACTAAGGAAACCAAAGAAATGACGTTGGGCAAGTTATCTAACTTCTCCGTGTCTTGTTGCCGTATTGCTAAAGTAGAGAGGGTACAGTCTACTTCAAAGGGTTGTTGTGGGGAAAAATGAGACAATGTATGTAAAAAGCACTTGTCAAGGCACCACAGCCGGAATAGGTAGTATTATTGTGGTTATCATTGTTGGTTAAGGTGAAGATCACTGCCATGTGTGAAGAGTTAGCTCCTATTTACCAGGTCTTTCTACGTCAGGTTTTCTTTGGGCACAGTGTACAGCATCTGAGGTCGGGCACCTTGAACTTGGTAAACTTGGGCTATCTCATCACTGCCATCCGCAATATCCATATTTCGCTGTTATTATATTTTAGCCAAGTGCATGTCAGTGGAATTACAGACACGGAAGAAGAAAGAATTAAAGAAGCTGCTGCTTACATAGCCCAGAGGAATCTCCTTGCTAGAGAGGAAGGAGTCACGGCAGCCAAGCAGTCCACAGTATCCGAACAGTCCACGTCCATGCTTCGCCAGGAGGAAGGTTTTGAGAAGTCGAGGAAAGTTGCAATTCGAGAAAAGGCAGAACACCTGTCACTGAAAAAAACGGTAAAAAAAAGATAACTTACAAAAGTAGGAATGCTACCACTATATATAAAGTAGATAACTAGTAAGGACCTACTGTATAGCACAGGGAACTCTGCTCAATACTCTGTAATGGCCTATATGGGAATAGAATCTAAAAAAGAGTGGATGTATGTATATGTATAACTGATTCACTTTGCTGCACAGCAGAAACTAACACAACATTGTAAATCAACTATACTCCAATAAATATTAATTTTAAAAAGTAGAAATGCATGTAACATTGTATATATGTGTGTTAATATAGATTAATTAGCTTCAAATGAAGAAATATGTGGTCTTGCGGAGAAACAAAAGAAGGAAAAAGACATCAAAATGTATAGGTCAAAGAAAGACACACTTAATATTTAAATTCTGTGAAATTTTAGTTTCTATAGAAATTAAAGTTCTTGAAGAACCTTAAGAAATCCACCTTAGAGAAGTAAACTATGTTGCTCAGGCTTACAATGTTAAAAATTAAGTGATGTGTCTGTTTTCAAAAGGGGTGAGGGGAATTCGTTTGAAATGAATGCAAAAGTAAGGCTGCAAATGAAAAAAATGATCATTTTGATTTCTACATTACATTTTTGTAGCACATGTTACTTTGATTTCATAATATGTTGATTTTTTTTTCAGTTAGAAGAAACTGAGGCATATCATAAAAAGTTGAATGAAGATAGTCTTCTCCATGCTCCTGAATTTGTCATTAAACCTCGTTCCCACACTGTTTGGGAGAAAGAAAATGTAAAATTACACTGCTCTGTAGCCGGCTGGCCAGAACCTCGTCTCACATGGTATGCTATCGTTATGAAAATTTCTCATAGAATCGATTACTCAAAGTTAATTTTACCTCTTATGAAAACATGTGACATTGTGAATATGCAAGAGTCAGTGAAAGCATCTACAAATTTGAATAGATTTTTTAAATAGTGAAGAAAAAATACATGTATAGAAGGAAAGAAGAGTCTTGCATCCATTACGATTTATTATGATACTTTATAATCCTATTATACAAATGGATCTTTATCTTATATAAAGTGTTAAAATTTAGTCAGCATATTTCTTTGGTATCATTTTGTGATGAGAAGCGATACTGCCTTTTTAAAAGTAATTAAGACCCAGAGGGCTCCATCTCTACTCCTCACATGAGCTGAGGTCTTAATGTGTTTTCTAAAGCCAAAAAATAGAGGGAGCTGTTACGACTATGGGGCCTGAAGAAATTTTTGTTCCATAACGAATAAGCTCCCCTTTTTTCCGTCCATTATATATCCTACTGCAATTGTCAATGACTTTGTGATCCCTAAACTCAGAACTCTCCCATCATACGGCATGAATGTCTGCCACAGAGAGCAGAAGTCTGAAGAGGATTGTGAGCCAGTTTTAGAAGGCGTTTTCCGTCTTCTTCTCCGACAGGGGTATTTTGCATGTAGTTTCCTTATCCTCGGGACAGGTGGTAAATATGCCCTATGTCACAGTATAAACACTTCATAGAATAACACTGTCACCCAAAGAGCGCCTGTCTCTTCCTCTCTTTTCTGTTATTTCTAATGTTCTTTGGACACCTGGCTAGCATAATGGAGGTGGCTGACAAGATAAACTGCTAGCTAAGGTTATTCTTAAAGAGCAGGTGGTGAGTTGTGTTTTTTAAAAATTCACCTGTGATGTCAATCTGCCTGTGGTAATATTGGATTTACTTACAGTTTTTCTTGTATGTAAACTCTTTCCAGGGTTCTTGAGTTTGAAAACCAAAGAATGAAACCAAAGCCAGCTCTATATTACTAAGGCAAATAATTTATAGTAAACAAAGATGAGAAATGTAGGAACATATTTAGGTGAAAATGAAGTTTAAAAAATCAATTTCCAAGCTTTAAAAGTATAAGAGTATACTATAGTAAGTTAGGAATCAGTCCATCTTTGCCCATCTTTCTCTCTACCTATAGAGTTGCACAAATTGGCCTATCAAAGGGACATTTCCTCTTAAAAAACTGATTATTTCCCACCTCAGAAAAAATCCAAACTTTCCTATAGAATTACATAAAGAATAACAAATTTTTAGCTCCAAGAAATATTACTTGAGATTCACTTTGTTATAAAGCAGAAACTAACACACCATTGTAAAGCAATTATACTCCAGTAAAGATGTTTAAAAAAAAAATTTACTTGATGAGTAAAAAAAATTCTCATCTTTCATGAATTAAAATGTACTACCAATAAACGAATCATTGGAGTCCTTAAGTAGATATATTTATTACAGTGTCCTATCTCTGTTTTCCTGATTTTTAAACATCAGAGTTAAATATGATTTTCAAAAGAATACAAAGTAATCTCTAGGAGGTAAATATTAATTTCTTAAGCATTTATTTATTCCGTTAAATACTCAGCAACTAGAATACAAACATACCATGTACCACTGATGGTGTTACTAAGCCAGAGTAATAGGGTTCTACAAAGGCAGAGCTCTAATTCTGTTAGAGATTAAACTCCTTACATAGTGCTTTGTGGGCTGAAAAAGGAGTGATTTAAAAACAAACAAAAATAAGCAAATGAGTAAATATGTTGATGTTAAAAAAATAAAAACAAACAAAAAATATTAAAACGCCACAGAAAAAATATGAGATGACTAAATTGTCAACCCGTAAAACTCCAGTCAAATTGGAAAATAGAAATACTGTCAGTTTTTGGGTTTTTTTTTTGGCTGCGTTGGGTCTTCGTTGCTGCATGCGGGCTTTCTCTAGTTGTGGCAAGCAGGGGCTACTCTTCGTTGCAGTGCGCGACCTTCTCATTGCGGTGGCTTCTCTTGTTGCAGAGCTCGGGTTCTAGGTGCGTAGGCTTCAGTAGTTGTGGCACACGGGATCAGTAGTTGTGGCTCGCGGGCTGTAGAACACAGGCTCAGTAGTTGTGGCGCATGGGCTTAGTTGCTCCGTGGCATATGGAATCTTCCCGGACCAGGGCTCGAACCCGTGTCCCCTTCATTGGCAGGTGGATTCTCAACCACTGTGCCACCAGGGAAGCCCATACTGTCAGTTTTTTGTTATCTTCACTAATGGGGCTGAGAAGAAGTATGATTGATCCCTCAAATCTTTCACCTTTAGCTTTGAAATATTTATTTCCTTAACGTATGAATTTTATGGCCTAGGGGTTCATTTGAATCAAAAACAAAGGCACAGAGGCAAGATTTGTCTCAGGAACGATTGGGAGGCTGTTTGGGAGGCTGTCCGTTGACTGGAACAAACCTTCTCTAGTTCTCGTGACCCCTTTTGTGCTTGGAGAAGTCAAATCCATTCTGTATCAAGAATTCTCCCAGTAGGGACGGATCAGACCATTTCACAGAAAGTCCTGTTGCCTTGCACGTCAAGTGAGAAGTAAATATGAAAACAAAAGAACCAGTGGACCACTAAGAAAATAGTTCACCTTGTTTAGCAAGCAAGATTTGCCCCTGGATAAAGCTGAAATTTGGACAATCAGCTAGCAGATAACTGAAAATTGGCTGTGGCAATAAATAAGGTCAGATCCAGGTTTTGTGGGGCGTAAGAGTTATACAATTTGAGGAGCACTTTTACAAAAAAGAATATAAAGTTAAGTCATATGCATTAGGCACAGAGCCTTGTGGGGACGCATGCTGATGAGAGACCCTGAAACTTGAGCTTCACTGGTTTCAAGGTGAATCCATCTCTGAGAGTAAACGTCCATGTAGGATTGATTATAGCTTGCTGGGTACGTTGCCTTTTTAAAAATAATCATGAAATGAAGCTCTGATTTACTTTGCAAGCTGCTGGTCCAGAGTGTGCGATCTTCAGTGAGCATCCTTCCCCTCAATGAGCAGGGAATCCACGACCTAGCAAGAACCACGGTTGGTGGTGACTAATTTGCTGGCATTTATGCCTCTTTGGTACCCAGCTGCAGCTTCCTGGGCCTGACACTGAGTATAAGTATGAAAGAAATAAGTGAGAATGACCTTACTGAATAGAAGAAGGGAAAGTACAAAAATAAGTGTGTGATGTTGCTGCGGGCAGTTGTGATGCCTCCACTTGAAGCCTTTAGCTCTCAAAGGCATGTGTGCCTGGGACCTGGCTCCCTCAGACTCCTTTCCAAAGAGGGTTCAGTTCCAAGTTTCCACTGGGCAGCCTCAGGTCATGGAAGCCCCTGAGGTCTAACAAATGATATCAACACACAGCAGCTGCTCTTTGGCCAACCCCGCGTACTGACTAAATCCGTCTGGATGGAATCTAGAGGGTAGCCAGGGAGCGCTCACTGACAGGCGCGCCCATCATTCATCAGGGCCGGGTGTGGAGGCGCTGAGCTCACTTTCCGAGCAGAAGGAAGGCTGTGGGCTTTGCGTCCGGTAGAAAAGTTAGCTGTAGATGACGCTGCTGCACCACCACAGTGAAGCAGGCCATCCTGAAGGAGGGCTTGTCAACAGAGAAGGAGAAATATATATGTGGTGAAAAACCAAAGCTGTTTTACTTAATAGGCTATATTTATATAATAACTTGTTTAATAGGCTGTATATTGGTTTAAAAGGGGAGGAAAAACATTTATGTTTGTATCCATATTACTTGCATAAGGAAGCTCTGGAAGGCTATGTAAGAATCTAAGGAGAACAGTTAGCTGTGGGGAGGAGCTGGGCAGAAAGCAGACAGGTTTGAGGAAGGAGAATGTTTCCTGGGCACCCTGATATTTTCTGGTCCTTGAACCATATGCCTGCATTGCCCAGTCAAATTGTAAAAACTATGTGAAATGAGGGAGAAAAGTTCTCTTTAAGAGAAGGAGAGAATTGCATTAATTTTACACTTCCTTTTTTTAAAAAAGAGCCAGATTTAATTGCATTTCGAGCCCAAAGTCTAAATCAGTTTTTTCAATGGAAGCCTGGATTGTAATCTGCAGGGAGACTCACACAAACTCCCTGGAGCAATGTGTTAGTGTTAGTGAGGATTAGTATTAATCTGATGCTCACTCAATACCCAAGTTTTCAGATGTGTATGTGGTTACTGGGCTAGATCCTCACGCAAGACACTTAAAAATACATATTTGAAATTCTTCACATTATCCCTGAAGTCACTGTCAAATAGACAAACATATTTGTCATTAAGCATGATAAGAGTTCAAAACCTGGGAATAAAATAGTACTATCTTAGGAAGAGTCCAGAGATTTGGAAACGCCTTAATCTATTTTTGCAAATTATGTGAATTCACAAATTCCATGGTAGAATCATGTATTGAATTTGTTTACAAGATTAGAGTTATTCACAATGTATTTAAATTTAGCAATTACTATCATATTATCTTAGGAAAACAGCCTGCATTTAAAATAGTTAAAAATTATTTATAATTACTTCCCAGGTATAAGGGTTTGGGATTTTATTTTAGATTTTTCTTATTTATTTAAGTCCAAATTCTATGCTAATGGAATAGCTCTCTCTCAGCTAATTGGTTTTTAAAGTAACAGCTATTTATTCAAAACAGTAGGGTTGCATTCTAAGTAGCAACCACACTTGTAGGGGTACTCAACATGAAAAGATCATTTTGGCAGGCATTATTTGCTGATAGAGAAAAGTTAGAGTGAAGCCCTTTTGTCTGACCATGCTTTACGCTGCCAAAGAGCTTTCACTGTAATCCCTTCTTATCAAAGTCAGCCCAATATCCAAACAGACATTTGTTTGGAGGAATTAAGTGTGTGTTTTACACACATACATAAAGAGTATTATGCTAGAAATACTTGTAACAGAAGCTCATTAACTAGTTCATAGGCTCTACATGAAAATGATAAGGAATATGGTGTTCAGCTAAATGTTCA